AAAAGAACCAATAAATGAAAGGTGACTTAGGTTAATTAGTTGGAAAAACACCAATTGGACACAGCTAGCTACGCCTGATTCCACCCACTTCTATTTTATGCCAAAGGAAGCAATTTGGGTGGGAATTGGTAGGGTTCCATTTTCCAAATATGGAAAACATAGATCATTTCATTTTATAGCATTCAAATCTATTTATCCAACTAACTTTGCTAAATGTGTTGCATTTTTGTGGCCTAAGAAACACCCCCCAACTTTGTGAGTGTGCATCATTTTCCAAAGGAAATACACACATATCTACATACATGGATTTAGTGAGTGTGGGCAAATGAACATTTTTAATCACATTTTATAAAGTACAAATATTATCATTTCAAACATTAAATTATGAAATTATGAAAAAAAATTATTTATATTATAATCTAATAGTGTGATAAGAATTATCTTTTTAATTTTATAAACGTAATCTCTTTTTTGGAGATTTATAATCTAGCGATTGAATGAATACAATTTCATATATACATGGAAGATTTACACATATTAATGTTAGTGAACCCTGGGATAGGATTCAATGACACCAAATATAAAAATTTTATAATTATACTGTATATTTATAAATATTTAAATTATTTAAATTTAAGTATGATTATTATAATAATAATATATAGTTTAATAGTTTGATTAATAAACTTTATAATTTGTAAAGATTTATCAAATATTTGAAATTGTAAAAAATTAGGGAAACTAAAGTTCCACCTGATTATCAGATATTACTTTCAAAGGTCAAATTATATATTCAATAATTTTAAGTTTAGAGCTTAACGTCTGTTATGATGACAATTTCATGATCGCAATATATTATTTTTAATATTTTAATCCAAACTTTTTAAATAAATATATAATAAAATTTAATATAACAATAAATTTTAATTTTAACTATATACAAACTTAAAATATTATAATTAATTTTTTTAAAACTGATACATTAATTACTTTTAATAAACGTTTTTTAAGTCAATATAATTTATTTAAATTTTTAAAAAAGAATCAATATATATATTAATTTTTATATCGTTAATAATTTTATATAAAAATGTAATTTTAATATATCGAATTGTTAAATTTTATTAAAATGAACTATATAAATATAACTAAAATATTTTATTTTTATATTTTTTAAAAATACACATTGCATTAATTTAAATATATTATAAAATATTAAATAATTTATATTAATATGAATTTTTCAATATAATTTTGTATAATTAAAACTTCTAATCTAAATTATCTAATAACAAATTATTATTCAATGTTAGAATAAATGTTACTAATATAATTAGATATCTATTTCCCTCTCTCTCTCTCTCTCTCTCTCTCTCTATATATATATATATATATATATATATTTACTTAATAAAATTATCGTAGGGAGAGGATTTCGTAGGAGTGGTTACGTAAGCGTTACTTTTATCGTCAACAAAGGCTTTTTGGCTGCATTGCAAAATTCACCAATTTCCAAAGAAAGGAACAGTGTCATTGCAACGTGTCGATTTCTGAATGGCCAGAATGCACAGTACCAGGTGACGCAAAGTGGATTGATGGAAAACCCTGCACCCTTCCGCTACACGTGTCGATTGGAGGAGGAAGGAGCACAGAGCCTTCGGATTTCCCTCGGTGACCGTGCTTCCGACGCGTGCCGTGAAAAGCAAATCTAGAGTTACTGTGCAGTCGTAGATTCAACCACTCACCCTGTCCAATCATCACTCAGATAAATATTTATTCTATTGCTTTAATGTATCTATAAAAATATACATAAAAAGTCGTATTTGATTATTTTAAATTTTACCCTCTTAGAGACACGTTAACTATAATGGAATCACAGGTGTCTATGTAACTTCTTAATGTCAAAGTAACCAAATTGAAGACGACAACTCTTTCAGCCCAATTTTATTGATACATTCTCTTTTGTCTAAACATCCCCATTTTTTGAAATAAATGGTTTTCTCAATAAACCAACTCAAATGGATATGTCTATCCCAAATCAATCTAACACACATTCACACATACGTAACTCTTTTGGCTTGGCCATGCACGTGCCATAGTGTTGTTTAATGGATAAATTTTAACATTGGTTTTCAATAAGAATAAATAAGTGTAACATCATTTCACCAATAAAATTGCAATGCATGCAACACTTACTAAAGACATGGTGTTTTCATTAGAGCACAAAGAGTATTTAATGGTATAAAAAATTTGACTAAAAAAAAATCGTCTAAGCCTATCGGGTATGGGAATCTAACCTTGAACATTGTAATAGTTTTCTTAAATGAACTCTTGTAGCTGTTTCTTCTTATGAGATTCTTATCCCCCAAAACGTGCAAGTTTCTGTCTTTTGCATAGTTACCACTACTAGGGAATAACTTAGGACTCTCTATCCTACACTAAAGGACCAGCATCTACACCCCATTATGGCCTAACAAACCACCACAAAGGTTCTTCCATTTGGTCCACACCCCATTCTTTCACATAAATTTAATCAAATCCAATTATAACACATCTTCAATCTTCATAAAAATAGTTATGTCACGTGGGGATCTAGCCAAAGCTTTTCACACCCAAGCTACTTCAAGACAATCTCTTAACACATGGAGTGTGGTTTCAGTGTGTGTGTGTGTGTGTGTGTAACATGTAGGACAAATGTTTATTCCCTTGTCCTAATTTTACCTGTAATATGAAACTAACGAACAACCTTCGGTGCATAGCTAATAGCTTGCCACATAAAGAGAGAGTGGTTGAGCATCAATTTGTATCATATGATCTTACCCAAATTATATCCTACCTATTTTGTTCATTTTTACTAAGAGATCATAGGAATTAACTCTTGAATGAGAATTGATGACCTTTGTCTTACTACAATTTAAGGATTTGATCTTGTCCAATAATTAAACTGGGAAGAGGTTGTTTTATCTAATAAAAAATTTCACTAGTAAGAGTGCATTTAATTTTTCATTTAAATAATCATGAATTCACTATTTCATTAGTCATAACTTTTGTTTTTGAATGTGCTTCCAAACAGATTAAGCTGGACTGAAAAGAATGCCACTTCCCTGTCCCAATTACAATATTTATGTTTATGTAATCAGGTACACAATTGTTTTGATAATCCAAATCAGGAACATTGAAGGGTAGATGAAGCAATGGGCCTTCATAACCAAGCCTAGAAAATAAAACTCTAATCATCAACAAATTTCTAAGTGAATGTTTTTCTTATCTTAATAAAAAGCCGAAGCCTAGCCCTAGCTACTTCCTATCATAGTCTAGAGTTCGCTTGTATATAGCCATCATGACTCTTCAATTCACTGCACTTCCATTAGTACTTATGAGCTCTGAGGAGTGAGGTGATCATAAACCCCATAGGCAATTTGTATTCCCCAAAACACCGTTCAAAAGTGTGATCCAAATTTTGTTATTCTTATGGAGCAAAACAATAGGCCTCCATGCATATTCCTTGATGGAGAAAATGGTTGCTGGTTATTTCATGTCGGGGAGTTGAAATACTAACTTATTTGTTTGAGAAGAACAAACATTAATACCACTATGTTTGGACGCAAAAAGAAATATGAAAAAATGAAGTAGATAAAAAAGAAACAAGTAAAATAATTTAATAATTTTTTAAGTTATTTGTCTTAAATAATTATTTTAAATGCAAAATTAAATAATTAACTATTGCAAATCATATCCCTCTCTATAATCCTAGTCAAGAAAAAAATGATTATTTTATATAATCCAAACACAATAGAATTATTTTGAAGTCCTACTCAACTCGAATATGATTGTCTTAAATGAAAAATATATAAAATATAAAAAATATATATATAAGATATTTTATATAATTAATTATGAAAACAATTGATTATAAATACAATTGCTCATTAAAATATTTATTTCCTGTTAATACAAACACACATTTATTTGTAATCATTAATTACATTGTAAAGCATAATTTAAATTTTTTTCAATTATTAAAAAATGATTCTCCAAAATAATCGGTTTCTAAACATGAATCCAACTAAGCAAGCTAAGGATTAGGCCTTTAAGAAAGCTTGCTTGGCCTGTTTATCTATTATTCAAATACGTAATTGAATATTCATAATCCTTTTGGACAAAAGAAAAATTGTAATCCTGATATAATTTATTTATAATAAACTAATTCAACATAACTTTTATATAATAATATTTTTATCAGCGGCTATATTAATTGAAAACTGAAAAAAAGTTCAAAAAATTTTATTTATAACCTATTGAAGGCTTTTATAAAATGTACGTCTCTTAATAAACTTGTAAGCTTTACTGTGTCAAATTTGGGTTATGATATTCATATAACTTTGAATTTCGAGCATTTATTTTACACTGCTTGGCAGCTAAAATAACATAAATCACATGAAACCCACATAGAAACACAGGCCACCCAAGATGAATTTAGATAATCAATTGGAGAATTTATTCATTTTTCGGAAAATGTGACCACAATTTTATTTTATTTTTGAAATATGCATACAAGAAAACAAAAAAAATTAAATTGATAATGCTATAAAGAATACCTTTTCTTTTTGGAGAATGATTCCTCTCATTCATATAACAGGCCATGTTCAAATCTTTTATTTCTATCTTCAAGGTAAACAAGAGAGAGATAGACTCAAGATTTGAACGTGCTAAATTGACATGAGAAGAATCATTCTCACACTTTGGAATGAAACTTGTCTCTAATCTGTTATTCTGTCTTATCTAGTGCCATATCAAAAATTTTCTCTACAAATTCACATGCAATTCAACATGCTGCACACTTACTAACCCCTTTTAATGAAGTGATATTCATAAAGCATTGTTGCTTTAAGATTATAGTTTCTCTCTTTCTTATAGTGGTCCAATGAATGATCAAATGCACCAATGGTATCTTTCCTAGAAAGAAATAAAGTAACAAAGATGACCTCGTGGTATGTTAGACACAACTGCAAAGAATTGGGTTCAAACTTCAAACTTATCAATTAAGGTCAATAATGAAGTATAAATGAAAACAACTAATTGACAAATCCTGTCAAAGTAGCATTATTCTACTACCTCTAGTCCTAATATAAGACCATTTTAAGGGGTTTGTCAGAGTCTTTTCATAAGAGCCCCTGCAAGTTGTTTCTTGAATCAATTATTTTCTTACGAAAACATCCTTAATGAGAACAAAGTATTTAATTCTCGTGAAGTAGTTAAAAGAGTCTTGTATTTAAGACTAGAGGTAGTAATTTAGAATTTTTCTTGTTCTTGCTTGCAACAAGGTATATAGTGAATTTACATGATGAGCACAAGATAAAACTGGTGTTACATACCACCATCTATGAGGAGTTTCACAACTCACAATGTTACATGGCACGATTGAATGTTGTGGGCTAGAATACTAGTAGGGAGAGAAGATAAAACCATTGAGATTATAGTTCAGAACATTCAGGACATGAAAAGTAACCTTTGGCTTGACATTTAACACATGCTATCCGCTTCACCTTTGATTCATTATCACCAAATGTGTCATATAAATCATCTAAAAGTTTGATACTAAGTATTCCTCCTTCTTTGACTGACCCTGTTCCTCTGCATCTCGAGCAAGCCAATCTCCTCAGATTGCCACATCTCTTGCACATCCCCAATGAGCTGCAAAAAACCAACGTCTCACTACATGGCTTGTTCAGAATATTTTTCTCATCATAGTTCTACAGAATCTAATGTTTTGTTTTTATTTTATTATCATAAATTCTTTATTCCTCAACTACAGCCACTTTGTGGATCGTGACCACTGTTAAAGATCAAGTCACCAGAATTCACTTCATTGTCAGTGCATTAAAATGAGGGGTCTGTGAAATGTTTAACACCATGACATGGAATCAAATAGTGAGTATACCAATAATGATAACTTGAGGGCAGAGAAGGACTAGGCAGTCTACTGCGTTTATGATATTAAACATGATTGGCATAGAGACTGAATCAGATATCTACATTAGCAACATGGTATTGTGGTATAAACAAGACTGAAAATATCATGCACCAGATGAATATGTTCACATGATATACTATTACCAAGTTTTAAGGGGCACTTAAAGAAGATTGAACTCTGAAGAATCTGATATGCTGAAGTTGCATTCAGTTACTTGCCAGAAAACAAATAACAAAAGCAGAATTTTCAAGCACATACAACCAACTTCCAGACAAAAGAAACAGAAAAACACAAAATTTCTTCGTGATGAGATAAAATCATGTAAAGATCAAAAGAACTCTGAACGCTGAGAGTTCTCCTCTTAAGTCCTGACCATACAGAAAACCTGACTACTCAACCATGACAATTGTAGACATTTTTTTTCATGATTTTGCCAAAATTTCATGTTTACAAGTACTGCTCTATAACCTTGCTAACAAATTCAAAGTAAAATTAGCTAGCAATCACTTGAAACTAAAATAATGACATCAAAAAACTATTCATAAATTTACACAATTGATCTCCACAGTAAAACCATAAATTGTCTTCTTATAGTGGGAAGGTCAATAATGCAGTTGAAAAACCTTACTTTGCAACTGGACAGCAATATTTGAATCCAAGGGAAGATATGTAAGTTGTTGATGGATAACGCACATGTATTGTGCCCATTCAGTGTTTTTCAAAAGAAATTTGTGATTTTGCATCTTTGCTATTGAGATGGAATGGAATGAAAAACTTTAATGTTTCCTTAAGTTGTGCGGTTAATAGGAACTACAGAACCAGCACCTTGTTAACACTATAACAAGGTTAAATTGCAGTTCGTTAAGTCGTGCTAAAATAAATTAAGGTTCTAACTTCTAACACTAAGAAACAACTTGATTTTTCCGGGAAAAAAATTGTGTCCCCAAGAGTTAAAAAAAAAAAAAAAAAACTGGGAATACTAACAGTCTCTTTCATGAATGCAGCTATTACGTTTTCTTCAAATGGCAACAGCCAGCTCAGCTTGATTAATTGCTAATTTACATGCATGAGTCAAATTCTCCCCGTTAAGTTTAAAACTAAGGCCTAATACATAGAATAAAACCTTTGAAAAGGGAAATTAAGTAAATAAGCAGGTTTGAGCCCATGATTTCCTTCTTGCTTTCCTGATATTTATTATGTCAGGCTAACGCAAATAAAAAACCACTAAACTTTCAGAGATAAAATATGAACAAGTCGTAAAGCATGCAACAAAGTTAGAACACGGTGGTGATTCTGTACTACCCAGTAACCGCATAAAAAAAATAATGGGTATCAAAATTCAGAGATAATTATTTAAGTAATAAACTAAAAGTAGCAAAATAAATAAATAAATAAATCCACGTCTCAGTGTGAGATAGACATTAAAATTAAGAACTTGTAACATCTTTGTTTGCATTTATGTGACATTTGACATTGGTTAGTAAAAATAATGCCAGAGAAACACATAGTACTTCAATAAGTTTAATGGGGTTTATTGGTGACAAAACTTAAAAAAAATAATTGTATCAAAAAAGAAAATTTGAGAAACACATGTAGAGAAAGAACCTGCGTTGAGAAGAAGAAAAGAAAGCATCAATTTTGGTGGCACTAACGGTGGCACAGAGAAGCATAGCACCCACTGCGAAACCAGCTGCTTCACTCGATGTAATATTATCCATTCTCTTCTTCCATCGCTCTCTTCTTCTGTTACCCTTTAATAGTCAGATTAAAATATTCTATATTAATTATACTACGGCCAATATTAATAACTGGCCTATTAGCTCAGTTGGTTAGAGCGTCGTGCTAATAACGCGAAGGTCGCAGGTTCGAGACCTGCATGGGCCAAATTTGAAGGATTTTTCTTTTTTTTCTATGTTTTTCCCTTTTTCTACGTTTTTGGTTGGTTTAAGAATATCTTTTGTGCGAAATGTGGGCTTAAGATAACATGGGCTTTAACCCAAGTCAAAAGTCTACACGAAAGATATGCAACCCAATTAATTAACACGCACAAATAAATGCAAATAGACTTTATTAGATTTTCTTAATTTGTTTTACTTTTTTTCTTATTTAAAATATTTGCAAATAGAGTTCAATAAAATTCTCTATTCACACGAGATTTTGGGTTCACCCACTGTATATATTCAATAATCACATCGTAAAAGGAAAAAGTGTGGAAAAATAAATTAAGGAACCAATTTAAAATAAAATAAAAATATATATAAGAGAAGTGAAAAATAAAACATAATTTTTTTATTTCAATAATTAAAATTAAATTATATGTTACATAGAATACGATTATTTTCATCTCTCGTTTATTTTTCATCTTTGCATAAATAAAAATATAAAAAAATACATTAAAAATAAAAGTAATAACCAAAAGTTCTCTCTCAAAATTGCTATTTTTTTTATTTTTTATTTTTTTGTAACAACATACTCAAAAGCAGGCATATATCCACGTTCATGAATGAGTTGATAACATGATATGAAGGGGTTGCTGTTAATTGTTGTATCTCTTTCAATGCTACTGCACCACTGAGTCATAATGTGATGTTATTTTGCTAATCTTATTTTTTCTCATATTCTACGTTGATTTGTCAACAATCAACTTAATAAAGAAGTATGAATGCACATTTAATTGTTTAGTGAATTCTGCAAAATAACTTTTCGAATTGGACATCATTTTCTTCTAGATTGCTGAGCTCCATACCCTTAAAAACAATAATGATATGTTCTAAGCTCTGCCTATGGCAACTAATCTTCAGAATAAAACAAGGAATCTTCTTATTTGTTGTTGAAACCTGCACCGACCAAACTTGCTTATAAGAATTTTTTGCTAATCACTATGTTCATATAAGAATTAACAAATATATGTTGAACTTCTTCATTAAATATACATGAATAAAAAAAAAGGTCAACTTGGTTGGTTTTGCTGTATGAATAACCATTTTGTTTATTTAATTTTGTGAGTATTTAAAGATATGTCAACAAAACGTGTAAAGGTAATTCTGTCAACAAAACTATAACTAATAATATTAAAATAAACGTAATTCATCGCTGTTTAAAATTTATTCTAAATATATTATTTTTAATAAATAATTTGTAAATTAAGACTATTTCAATATTTGTTGTAAAATAACGTAATTTTATATACTTTATAGTACCACACAAAAAAAAAAGGCATTGATATTTATCGTGTAATATTTTATAGTCCAAATTAACCATATATTAATTAACAAAGACTTTCCGATTTTACGACTAAATAAAATCTGATTAATGAACATGATATATCTAAGTATCAAAGGGTTAATTTGGTTCTTATCAAGTAAAATTATATTTTTCAATTTTTGTGAATAGAAGAAATAAATAAATATGAGATGATTTTGGTCTTCTTGAGTATATAAAATAAAATATGATTAATAGATGGAAGGTTCATGCAAAATACTATAAATTATATGAACAGCATGTGGCAACTATCGTCGCTCTAGTTTGTAACTAAAAAATAATAGATAAAGCAAAACCCAAAAAAAAATTGCATGGATCACATCGCTATTTTGCACCCATATGCAGCTATAAGAAGATGAGGGTGGCATGTGAATTACTTGTAAAAATCTAGAGAGAGTATAGGCATGGAGACCTTGGATCAGATGCTTGTGTCAAGCTGGTACAATGTTCATTCCTCAGTGCCTCCATCTTATGTACAAGCACCAGAAAACAGGCCTGGAAGGGTTATTAGTTCATTAGATAAGACTATTCCTGTGATTGATCTTGGAGGACATGATCGTGTCCATACCACTAAGCAAATTTTAAAAGCCTCCATTGACTATGGCTTTTTTCAGGTTAATTAATATCAACTTTCTTTAATTTATCTCCTCTTGTTCTATATACCATGTATCTCCTTATCCCATGCATGTGTTGAATTTTAAATTTTAGCTTCAAATTCATTCTAAGCTTTGTGACCTGATTTATTTAGACTTTTCTTTGATTAGGTTTAAACTATTTTATTTCTTTGAGGTAGGTGATCAATCATGGAGTTTCCAAGGATTTAAGGGAAGCAACACTGAACATTTTCAAAGAATTTCACGCCATGGATCCCAAGGAAAAGGTAAATGAATGCTCTAAGGACCCAAATGGAAGCTGCAGGCTCTATACAAGTAGTGAGAATTACAAGAAAGATGCGATTCATTATTGGAAGGACTCACTAACACACCCTTGTCCTCCATCAGGTGAATTTATGGAGTATTGGCCTCAGAAACCATCCAAATATCGGTAAAGATTATTTTCATGTTTGCTTCATTAATTCTAGATTTTAAGTTTTTTTATATTATTATTATTGGTACTTCTTTGATCATGATTTTCAATATTACGAGTCTTAGTTAGAAATCAATTTCGATATTTCCTGTAGGAATCAATTGACATTTTTAATTTGAACAGTTTTGTAATTTTATTTGGTCTGCTATAACAATTTTAATCTAAGCTATACAGTTTAATTAAGTATTTGCTTAATATTTTTTTATTACTTGAAAATTATAACATAAATTTGATCATAAAATTTATTAAAAATTAATTTAATAAATTGCAATAAGAAACTTATCAAATAAGCTAAAGAACTTATCAAAATCATTATTAAGTTAATTTCATAATTTTTTCAAACTCCCCCAAAATATTTTACCTATGAAAAGGATTTGATTCGTAAGTTTTTCAGTTCATTTGGTTGCTTTCAAATCTAAATAAGAAGTGATTGCATATATAATCCCAAAAAACTTGATTGAGTGGATGATATTAAAATGACTTGACCAAGAAAACGCAGCTCAACCTTAATATAGTTTAATTAGCAATAAGCTACTTTAATTCCATTGTCTTCTAGATTAGTAGCCGGCCATTACCTATATATTAATTGTATATCGTTAATTCGTCACACAAAAAAGTGACATCTTGTACAAATATTAACAAGTGTATTAAAGAATTAAAGTACTTTTTTTTAGTAAAAACACATAGATATACTCTAAAAATATTGATTAATTAACAAGATCCATAATTATATATATAACAACCTTTCGTGTTGGAATATTTCAGCGAGGTTGTTGGAAAATATACACGAGAAATGAAGGAACTGGGGCTTAAAATTTTGGAGCTAATTAGTGAAGGGTTAGGGCTAAACTCAAATTATTTTTGTGGTGGACTGAGTGAAAATCCATCAGTGTTAATTCATCACTACCCTCCTTGCCCTGATCCAAGTTTAACACTGGGCTTAGCCAAGCACAGGGATCCTACCATTCTCACTATTCTGCTTCTAGAGGAAGAGATTCAAGGACTTCAAGTCCTCAAAGACGGTGAATGGATTGCTGTTGACCCTTTTCCCAATGCTTTTGTGGTTAACATTGGTCTTCTCATGCAGGTTACATTTCAAACTTTAGCACTTGCTTTCTTCTCATTTAACATAGATTTCATCCGAAGTTGACAAATATTCATGTATTTGGTTCTTATAAAAAAATATTTATGAATCTATCATTTTTTGAAGTTAGAATAGTATTTAATTTAATTTTTATATTTGACATCATTCTATTTTAATTCTTACTCTAGCATTTTATTTTAATCCCTCTTTATAAACATCCTACATTTTGATCCTTACACATAGCATTATTATTTTCCTCTTTACATGATAAATACACTAATTTAAAAAAAAAATTATATACAAACTAAAATGTATTTTCTAATGCAGAGATTAAAAATAAAAGACAAATTAAATATATATAGCAACTAAAGTTATATTTTATTTTTTTATTCTTGTAATGATTGCATAATATCTTCTGCAGATTACTAATATGTACACCCACCAAGTAAAAAAAAAAAATTAAATAGTGGTTCCATACTACAAAGGCATAATAATGGTGTAGTTAGTATCTAAGGAACGTTGAAATGGAATTGAAATATTCTCATAAGTTATGTAAATATGTCACATCATGATAAGTTTACTCTAATATAAAAAGGTATATGACGTATTACTTTCATTGAATCAAAATTGAAAGCGTAATGTAATGTGTTACGCAAGAGTAATTTAGTCAAATTGTAATACATATAAATAGCTTTTAACAAATAATCAAATCATATTATTTTATTTAAATATTGGTAGTTAGTAACAATCATGCGACTTACTACATATATTATATAAATAGTCAATGTTATTGCTTTCTTAGAAAATGATTAATATAATTAATTATCAATTTCAACGTTAACTTTGGAAGAAAACTTTGATCATTTCAAGGATGTATGACTGTTACAGATCATCACTAATGGAAAGCTTGTGGGTGCTGAACACAGAGCTGTGACAAATTCAAACATTGCACGCACAAGTGTTGCCTATTTTATGTATCCATCATTTGAAAGCATCATAGAGCCTGCACAAGTTTTGATTAATGAAAACACTCCACCACTATATAAATCCATGTCATTTGGAGAGTTTCGAAGAAGTTTCTTTCAGAAGGGTCCCAAGCTTGAAGAAGAATTGCAATTGCAATAACCCTCCATTTATCTCAGATTAAAGTAGTTTATACATATGATATATGTAAAGCATAGTTGTTGATTATGAATTTAAAAACAAATAAATACTCACTTTAATTAGTATTTTAAACTGCAATTATAGATTCCTTTAGTTCTCGATTTTATAAATATTTCATTTTAATTTTTTATTTTATAAAAGACATTCGTTTGTTTCTTTTGATACAACACGACAATAAAAATTAATATAAAACACTAAGATTAGTTTTTATTAAAAAATTTACAACAAAGTAATTTTTTATTAAATTAAATATTAAAGTGATTGATATTTACAATTTGAGAGACTAAAATAAGTATTTACACATTTAAAATTAATAAGCTAAAACTGCAATTAATGCTATGATTATAGCATGTAGTTTTATTTTAACATTCCCTTTCATTATTATTATTATTATTTAGTCTTTTATAATTGTTGATCTTATAAGATATATGATAAGATCAAATTTTATCTAACTCAATTTATTATAATTTTATTTTTTTAATATTTTATATTGTTAATATATACATATATTTAATTACTATCAATTTGAATATAGTATAACCATTTCTATATTAGTGAACCGTAAATTAATAATTAAGTTCATTAACCTTAAAGATTACTTATGACTAATTTGATGATACTGGAGTTCAATTCTCTATACAATTTAATGTTGGATAAATTTGTGTATATAACTACTCTCTTCAAATTTTATAATTAGAAAAATATGAGTTGTTAATTGCTCTGCTAAATTAATTTAGTATTTAAAAATAACATCAGTTTAATCATTCAGTCATTAAAAAATTAGTCTTGTCCCTTAATAATACAAACTTAATATTAATTTAATTTCCCATTCATAAAATATCATATAGATTTATTTATTTAATATCCTAATTTGCTTGTAGAAGGACAATATCAATTTTTATTATTAGACCAATAAGTTATTAATGTTAACATTTTCTAAAAAAAATCAATATAATATTTTAATATCTTTGAAAATCACAACAAAAATTTAATAAAATAAAATAAATATTAGTTACCTTAATAATTTAGCTAAATGCGAGTTAGTGAGAATTTTAGTAATTTTTGTGGAAATAAATTATGTTATAACATTATTTAGTGTATTAAATTTAGTTTTACAATTTTAATATCATAAATTATAAATTATGTTTTAATAACTTTTGCACTTGTTTATAAATACTATTATCTTCAAAATTTTCCAACTAAATATTTACTTAAAATATCAAGAAGCAAAAGATATTTGAAGCTTAAGTTAGCATGGTGGATGCAAGTATATAGAGAATAATGAAATAGGTATGTTTAGCTAAGGAGGATTGACCCTTTATCTAGTACTACTTGCCTTAAAATGTAAAGAGTAAATCTATTGATAAGGTTATAATATTATCTTATGATGTTAATGAATTGATAAAATATAATAGCTATGATAAGATAATATTAGTATCAATTAGTTTGCAATGTGATTAATAAGAGATATAGGCTTTTTCTAATTACGGTCCACAACTAATCTAAACCTAACCCTTCCTTATAAAAACCACTAATTTAAGCTTTTCCCCATAACTACTTTCAATTTCCCCCGTATATAGAACAAAATCAAATCCTGTATCACTACTGAAATTGAATAGGAAAATAAATTAAGAACAAATAATTGTGAGGATTTAAATTTTTTTATCTTTGGGGCAAAAAAGTTAGTAACTTTAGGTGAATTTAGGTCGCTGTTTTCAAATTTAATGGCCAATTTTATTTTTTTTTAATGTATAGAAGTTTTTTTAAAAAAAGTTATAGCAAAATCTTAACTATTAAATTTAAATCAATTGCTTCAATTCATTGAAAGTCACTAACTTTTTCGCCTCAAAGAATCCAAATCCAAACTGTGACGGAAAAATAAAATAGTGATTATAATTTATGTGGTCATTTTCTCCAATTAGCATCATTGCCCTTTAGCACTTTTTCATTCCAAATGGGAAAATATTCAGTATAAAAGCGATATTTGGTTATTCCTTGCTTATATCACTTAAAGAAATGTACCAAAACATTAACCTTGCCCCTGGTTTTCACTAAAGCTAAATGCTTTTTCCTTTTCCTTTTAAGACACTCCATTGTTCTAAGGTATATAATTAATACCCCTTGCATGAAACTACCTTAGCAACCATTATTTATACATGCCACTAGCAAAAGTAAAAGCAGTAGAAGGAAAAAAAAAATTAGAAGTTCTTTAAAAAAATCTTTCTTGCAGCTAAAACAGAAGACCCTATTATAATCCAAATAGCACTTAGAAACCCTTCCAAATCACAGAAACAAAAGAGCATTTCAAATGGGACGTTGGATGAAACCAGAGGTACCATGTCATAGACTTCTTATTGCATGTTTTTTTTATTTTCCACGGTAGCTGTTTATACTCAGAAGCTAGTTGTTTGTGTGTAAATTTGAAACCACATTCAAGCAAAATTAACACAAATCCAAACACACTTAAACGTCAAAGCATAAGAAGTGAAATTTTATTGCCTCTCTTTAATATATTCATATCACGTTATTTTAGAATATGAGAGAATCTATTTTTTTTTTCACTTTTAAAATTTTCTTACCATTTTGCTTTATTTTTCAATTATGAGGCACTTGCACTTTTCCTTACTCAAACATATGTGTTCACAATAGGTATACCCTTTAGTGGGTGCTATGGCCTTTGTGACCAGCATGGTGGTCTTTCAGCTAACAAGAAACTTGCTCACGAACCCTGATGTTAGGTACAATTGATTCTCAAGGGAAACTATCTAAAATCAAGAATTAAACATTATGAACAAAGAGATCAATGTATTAATTTGCTTATTATCTGGTCATTTTCTTGGAAAAATTTTCTATAGGATTAGCAAAGAGCGCCGCAATATGGGAGTGTTGGATAACAAAGAAGAGGGAGAGAAATACCGTGAGCATGGCCTTAGGAGGTTCCTTCGTACTCGACCACCTGAGATTATGCCCACCATTAACCACTTCTTTAGTGAAGATAAGTGAATGAATGTAAAAAAATGTAGAACATCAAAATAATTCAATTTATGAAAAAATAATCAAAGCATTTTCGTTATAATTCATAAAAATCTGAATCTGGTGACTGAAATATATATGATTTGGTTTTTCAGCATTTTGTAATCATCAGCACCCAAATAGATATCATTAAGAGTCATTTAGCTCTGTTCATTTTTTTTTTGGTCAATATTTAGTTATGTTCTTTACTACAAGGTTTAAGCCCAAACTGTGACTAAATCTTTTTAGTGACCCATTTCCTTGGCCCACATAGCCTGTGCTATAATTGGATTTAGGGTCCATTAACAAATTAGTTCTTGACTTCCCCATCTCTCCCCTCCCCTGTTTTACTTGAGAAATAATATACCATTTTAAAAGTTTTTATTTTTTTTTCAAAAAAAGAGCATTTAAACACATGCAGAGATTTCATCTTCACAAATATTACTAAGAAGTAATATTATTCAATTTTTCTTCTCTAATCTCACTTTAAAAATAACATATTCACTATAAAGCTTTTAAATTACTCCATCCAATGTTTTTCTTAGATCAGGCATTTTAAAAATAAGAAAATCAGAATTCAATTTAATTTGGATAGTTTTCAACAAGCCAAATTGAAATACTACTCTCTACAGTTTATATTGAAGTATACAGTGCATATATACGAACTTCCTTATAAAGGGCAAATAATAGAGCATGAAAAAGCTGAAAATGATTGCTTTGTTGAGATCAAATAAAGGGCACAAGCATCACAACTTGATAGAAACTAATCTATATATAAATAAACCAATACATGATGAGTTAGACATGGAAGTTTGTTTTTAACTTTGTTGAAATAAAAAATATACACATGTACATATAAAGCATGTCAATATGATGATTAAAAAAACTTGGAAAAATCTCATTGTTTGTAGTGTATAAGATGAGTATCAATCATAGCTTTAAGATATACACCACTATGCTCCTCCCAATGTTTTGCTGTATGAATGGGCTGCAACGAAAGAATGATATGATGTGAAAGCTATCAAAGAACAAGAGAGATTATCCCAATATATCCATTATTCCATTTAATTCCGACACTGTTTGCTGGCAATGGCCACTCATCCTGGCTACCCTTGATCCGACAGAGAGGCCTTGTTAGTTTTTTAATATAGAAAATCACCACTGGATAATTATTCAAATTTAATGTTTATAGTTCTTATTTGTTCAATTTCTATTAATTAATTCCAGAGTGCCTAGCTATTTCTTTCTATCTTTTTTCTTTCTTCAAGTTCATACTTCTCAAATGGAAAAAGTATAATTAATTTAGATTTTAGAATTTGAATTAAAACCAAAAAAATTAATTTCAGTATTAATTATTTTAGAATAATAATTTTTAGGATTTTATATTTTATGTTTGGATTTTAAAAAAAAATGGTTATAATATTACAGTTTTAAAATTAAATTCTATTTATATTGTTTAAAATGTATGATCTAAGACTTTACAAAGTTATTTAATTTTTTTTTAATACAAATGAAAGTTAATATAATACAAGACGGTTGTATTTTTGTCATATAGTGTTTTTTTATGAAATTTATTTGTAAGAAAATAAACACACATTTTAAGAAAATGACAGTTTGATACTATGATTGATTGCAAAGAGAGAGTGCTAAAAATTATTATGGTTAAAAAATCTTTACCTTTAGCTATTTATAGTACTCTTCAGGCTTTTCTCACTCTGGTAAGTGGTTTTAGTTAGAGTCGATATGATTTCAAATTTTAGGATTAACATGCTTTTTAATTATTTTTGAATCTTCTTTAAGAGTAGCACTAATAGAACTGTGAGAGGTGTATGTTGAGTTTGTAATTGTTATAAGATGTTATACGTGAAGAATTACAATTACATGTGAAGATTTGAAAAAGAAAATTAGATCATTTAAGATTTGTAGTGCATGTATATGGTATAAAGGTAGTATCAACTTTCTTCGTTTGCAAAAAGCAAATCTAAAGCTATTACATGCTAACATTTCCCTTAAACTCGGGCTAATGCAGAAAGAATCAAATTGATTAATTAGTAAATAAATGGCAGGCTAGTTAGTAGTTTCTTTTGTAAGATTACTCTTAAGCATTAAAGCACAAATGTATATAATACAAAAATATACAGGCAATATCTCGATTTATTGAATGTATAAAGTATAAACTTGAAATTAATTAATACAAAATACAACCAAATTATAGTAAGAATAAAACTAAGTGAAGCATCACTTTCATAGGGGAATCATTTTCCACTTTATTGCATCAACCAAACACGACCCCGGGAGATCTGCTTAAAATTTTGATTTGAAAAGTGAAGGAAAGGAGTGTGTACCCATAAGCCCTTTTAAGATTTTCGAATCTCAATTTGGAAGCCAAAGGACACTTACTTGCAATACCATCAAATTGTAATTCGAAAGTGGGATTTTCAGTTATGATTAGCCCAAATTCTTGGGGCCAACCCTTTCAAATGATCCTAACCTGGACATGTGACATACTGGAAGCGTAAATTCCCTTCATTTTCATTTTCCAACATAACATTAATTTATATATCCACCGACACAGATTCAGCGAGTCATAGTCAAGGGGAAGCCATAACTTTTTGAGAATAACGAGGAGGATCAAGTCAACCTGACCCTGTGAATTTGCACTCATTTCAAAACACACACTTTTATGGCTTTGATTTTATAATTAAAACATTAATCATTTTATATAAGTGCTTCTAACTTTCTCCGCAGCTCAATCTGTCACCTCAGCCAGTGATTTGTGTTATGAAGCATGTGATTAGGTAGGTTAGGAAGTATCTTACACATGCTAGCAATCTTAGACGAATTAATTAACACAAAATACTAATCTTACTCGAACATTTTATGATGTATTATTGTAGAATACAAAACCTGATTAATAACATAATATTTCCTTCCTCTTCCAACATGATTCGGTTTCTAGTGTGCAAAAGTAGTGGGGTTCATGTTATTTACAATGATTTATAGACTATGATTTGTTGATTACACACAAGCTGGACTTTTCTTGCAAATGCAAAAGTTGTACATAGATTAGCAGAACGATTTAATTATTAAACTTTTGGGTTGCACATAACATATGATTAGTCTATCTTATACAAATTTATTCCCACATGCACACGGTTGTAGCGAGATGTACACTTGAAACCTTAATGATTGAATGCAAAATTCTTAAGATGTCTTCCCTTAATCACAATCGTTAATACTGTGACAAAATGATAAAGCAATTATTACAATAGAATTTACCTTTATTTATAAGGATCCTTTCCTCCTTTTTTTTTGTATTTTTTTCCCTCATAACACAGTATTTTGCTAATACGAAAGAATCCAAATCCGTTACAATCATTCCTAAAGCATCACAACTACTTAGTTCATGGACATTTGTGAACATAATAATGCTAGTGATCCAAATTGAAGTAAACTAGTGAACAAAAAAGGGGGGGAGAATGAGAGCATCTTCCATCAACTAAGAAAAAGCAACATTGTCCATAGATGGAGATGTCAACCTCAAGGTTTAAACTCAAAAAGATAAGATTGAAAGCATGGAATTGCAAGGATGGTTGTGTGTATTTTCTGTTCTTTGGGGAGGGGGGTATACCAAAGTTGCTCAATTGGGCTCACAATTGCAAAGTGACTAGTACTTGTCAATGGTTTGTTTTCGTACCAAGGACGATTACGATATTCCCACGAGGGGGTAACATGCATTTTTTTCCTTTGTTGTTTGTGGCACTATGAGAAGTTAGTTCCAATTGGGTAACCCCACAAGGTCTTGAACTTCATCCTCAATGTGGCCAAGCAATCACCGGATCACATGGGTTTTGGTACTCGTGTGTAACATAAGGTTACCTAATGTGGGTTGAAAGCAAGGGAATGAAGGATTATAAAACAAAATTGAATCAATGGAAATGAAAGAAATAACAGCAAAGACAAAACCACTCCCAAGTATAAAACAAAATGAAATGGGGACCTTCCACACATGGGGTGGGGCGCTTCATCTTGTGCTGTGGAGCCAACCACCATAAAGCTAAGAATCTTTTGCAAAAACTCGGATTAGGGGAGGGGATAGAAAGCCCTACTAATTTATATATATGTATATATGCATTGGTCCAAAAACTAAAGGATTGCTTTCTATATAACCCTGCCATTAATCATAAAATAAACTTGATTCAAGATTTGGATGAGCTAGAATGCATATTCTAGAATTCAAGAATCCAAGAAACACAATTGGCAAAGGATTGTAATGTGTTATGAGTAGGTTGCACACATTTGCTTCCTTTGACTTGATAATATGTCTCCATGGATTAGATTCGCGTGGGAAGAAATTCATGGAAACTAATGAAAATAATCTCTCTTTTGATATAACATGGGATCTTACGCATAAAAAATCGTTTAACTTTAACATTATATATCTTCTAACTCTAAACTCTTCTTTTTAGGGTCCATCATTATAACTCTTAAATCTATTAATGTGTCCGACCCAGAAACTACGATATTGGACTCTCTTGATTATTAGGCTAGCCTTTATGCATTTATGCATATGATTTGATTGAAGTGTTTGTTTAAATGGAGGATTGCAGTTGCAATTGTGGTGGGCCGAAAGTACAGCTAAAAGGAGGCTGAGGGGTATCTATAATACAATCATCGAAATCGTTACATGCATGCTATTCGCTTTATATTATATTTTTATCAGTTAACAGACTATAATAAGTTATTTTGTCTATAATAATTCAATGATTAATTAAAAAGAAATATAAATTAACATGTTAAAGAATCTACATAGCCTAACTAGCTATCAAGAAAAGTATCTTTGGTTATTATCAAAGCAATTTTAAAGGAGAAAAATCTTTAGAGTATTCGCAACCTTCCTTTATATCATATTCCACCCATTTCCTCTTCCACAGTTCAATAAACATTGCATTTGATATTCTTTATACGCTCACTACATAACATCATATATA